CATCAGCAGCATCATCACCGTCATCATCATCATCATCATCATCATCATCATCATCATCATCATCATCATCATCATCATCATCAACACCATCAACATCATCATCATCATCATCACCATCATCACCATCATCACCATCATCATCATCATCATCATCATCATCATCATCATCATCATCATCATCATCATCATCATCATCATCATCATCATCATCATCATCATCATCGCCATCATCATCAGCATCATCATCATCAGCATCATCATCATCATCAACATCATCAGCAACATCATCAACACCATCAGCATCATCATCATCATCATCATCATCATCATCATCATCATCAACATCAACATCAACATCATCAACATCATCCGCAACATCATCATCATCATCATCATCATCCTCCTCCTCCTCCTCCTCCTCCTCCTCAATGGGCCACTCGTGTGCCCTCGACCTGCTCTGGCGGCGGCCCCGCCGTGGGCACTGCTGCCCGTCCGAGGCCGCCGCCGCGCGCAGGCGGGTCGCCGAGGGCACCGCTCCGGTAGCGGGTCCAGCCGCTCTGTGGCCCTCCGCCCGCACCCGCGGCCCCGCGGCGCGGTTCCGCGTCCGAGCCTCGCTCGCCCCGGCGCCCGGGCCTCTGCGCGCGCCTCCGCTCCGACAGCGCAGCACCCTCCCAGGGCAGTTCCACACTGGGCAGCGCGCTCACCCCGCTCGGCTCCCCACCCTCGGCGCCGCTAGGCTTCGGCTCCAGGCGCCGCTGGACTTCAGGTGCGCGGGCCGCCCACCCCGCGCGTCTCTGAAGCCCTCCACGGTCACCCCCCCCCCGCCACCGGCGCCAGGCGAGGCGCCCACGGCACCATGCCGCCCAGCGCTGGGCCCGCCTGCGCTCCCACGAACTCCTTGTCCTCCGAGTCCACTCCCGCAGCCGACTGTCTTATAGCGCCTCGGTTCTTCACCATCTAGGTCATCAACCAGAAACCTGATTTGAGCCTTACTGGCGCTGGCCATCGCTCGGACGTCCATTCCCTGTGTTTTGTTTGGTTGCGCGCGTGGTTTTTTCGCCAAATGATCAGGGATGCTCCTCGATGGTCCTCGCCGAAGGAAACATGCACACGTCCGAGCGATGCCAAGTTATTGGGAGGAAGATCAAATCTACGCGGCTGGCGGTCACGTCTAGGATTCCGGCGCCTGTCGAGGGAGGACGAGGTGGAGGATAGACAGGGGGCAGAGGGATGATCAGCATGAAGACGGAGCAGGGCGGAGGGGAGGGAGGCAGACTCTGGAAACTCATCCTGGTCGCGCAGCGATTTAAGAGGGAGGGAGGAGGGAGGACCAAGGATGGAGGATGGGAGGGTCGCCCTCCTCCCTCTTCCATCCCTTTTCCTATCAGTATTTCTTCCCTCTCACACCCCGAAACTGGTTGAACGGGCGGGCCTGGCGTTTCGCCTGAGACTTCCTCACCAGGTATGACCCTGGTGCTCAACTGGTTTTCAAAATTCTCTCGCCTAAGCGCCGCGCGCATTCGCTTGAAACATTTGCAAACAGTTCACCGAATGAGGGCGGGCGGTTTTCAAAATGCGGCTCTCGCCTTAGCGCTTCGCACACTTGATTTTAACATAAGCAAGACCTTCACAGAGTGAAGAAGGATGGTTTTCAAAATGTGGCTCTCGCCTGAGCGCCGCGCGCTCGCTGTAAATATTTGCCAGAGCTTCACGGATTGACGGCGGTTCCTTTTCAAAATGTGGCTCTCGCCTAAGCGCCGCGCATAGTCATTTGAAACGCTTGCAAGAGCTTCACGGATTGAGGGCGGTTCGGTTTCAACACGTAGCTCTCGCCTTCGCGCCGCGCGCATTCGTTTTGAAACACTTGCAAGAGCTTCAAGGATTGAGGGCGGGTGGTTTTTAACATGTGGCTTTCGCCCTAGCGCCGCGCGACATTGCGTTAAACATTTGCAAGAATTTCACGCATTGCGGGCGATTCGTTTTCAAAATGTGGTTATGGCCATACTGCCGCGCACATTCGTTCTGAACACTTGCAAGAGGTTCATGGCATCTCGTGGTTAACGTACGCGAAATTGTGTGTTGGGTCGATTCAGGACCGTCAGGGCGCAACAAGTACGTTGATGCGCGATGTGGAAGTCCGAGGAGTTGCATTCTGGCACGATTCAGGACCGCCAAGACTAACAGTCAGGAAAACTCGTGGCGTTGAAAACTTGACAACGGTGTTTTTGCAGGCTTCAAGATGCTCACACGGTTGTCCCCCAACGTGGCAATTCCCTCAGTGGAAATGACCCCCATATAGGGGCCTGTGAGGAGGGATCTTGGAGGGAGGGTGTATTTCAGCATCGCTGATGGGTCTTGGGTTTACACTGGTCCTCCTCCTCCTCCTCCTCCTCCTCCTCCTCCTCCTCCTCCTCCTCCTCCTCCTCCTCTATTTCTCCTTCACCCTTCCATCCTCCGTCCTATCCATCCTCCTGGGAGGAAGGGTGTGGGGCAAGGAAGAGGGAGGAGTGAGAAGGATGAGCAGGAGGGATGAGGAAGGAGAGGGGGAGCAGCACACGGAGCAGGAGTGGAAGAGGACGGGTAGATGAGGGTAAGAGGGACATAAAGAGGAGAGCAGGGGGGCGCATGTGACACAAGGCCTCGCTTTAAGCGCGCGCCGCGCCAAGGGCAGACAGGACATGGACACGGGGGCGAGTCTGGGCGGAAGTTGTCTTCATCTTCTCCAGGGGACTGGTGGTGATGATCACCATCAGACTCGTAATGATCATCATCGCCGTCGTCATAATCAGCATCATCACCCTCGCCATCTTAGAAGGACAAACCCAGCCGAGGAGGAGAACGGCGACCCGCCAACCGAGGAGGTGCCGTGAAGAGCGCCAGGGTCCGAGGTGGCCGTGTTTGACCAGCGGCGCTGCGCGTGACGCGCCACCCCCAGGAGTGCAGCACCAAGTGGCGCCACACGATGCAGCTCAACGCCGTCGAACGGCATCCGCAGCCAACAAGATCGGCTGGAGCACCCGTGCAACCGGAACACTGAACGCCGCAGGGTGAGGCAGCAAGTTCCATGTGTCAATGACGAGGAGAGCGCCCCCTTCGTGGAAGAGCGGGCTCCAGCGTGGGGCAGCCCTCACATGCCTTGATGCCTGCGGCTGGTGTCCATCCCATCCTGTCACCCTCCCCCCAATCACCCCCCACCATCTGTGATCGCAGCGGGAGCAGGAGTGCGCGGTTCATCCTTCTCGCTGAGGAGGCCATCGAAGTCGCAGAAGAACTCGGCATGCAGAGAACATACTTGCATATGAGAAGAACTGGAGAGGGAACAAGCGGACGGAGACTCACAATGAGGTTCTGAAACCATTGCAACACAAACCGCCGCTGACGCCGTAAACTGGTCATATGGAACCCAAAGGTTCACACAATGTTCTCCAAGCACGTCTGGTGTGAAGCGTGTCTCCTGCGAACCAGCGACCTTCCGAATCTAACAGACCGCCGCTGGCGACGAACTTTTCCAAATCAGTGCTGGGAACCAGAGCGCGTAGAGTAGCAGAGAGACCCCTCACTGAGATCGCCATGAACGGAAAGGCGACGGGGGGCATAATAGGGCAAGTAATAGTGCGTGGAGGGAATCAGCCACCGTGCCGCTAGGCACTGAGTGGAGTGTCATCAAGTTCCCGTGACTCTTCTGCATGGAAAGAGGAATACTTTTTGAGGAGCCCACAACCACGAGAACTCAACTTCCGTGTGGGGGGATGGGGGCAGGGCGTCCCCGATAAATCCCCCGTGGGCCAAAGGAGCGCAAGACGGGCCAAGAGGGGCCCCAGAATCAGGAGCCACAAGTCAGAACACTCCCATGGGGAAGCGTACATTTTTAGCAGATTCGCTTTCTGGATCTGCGCGGCGTCCCCGACTGCCAAAGGCCCCCAAGAACGCCCCAAGAAGCTTCCAGACGGGCCCCAAAACGGCACCAAGGCAAGACTGTCCAGGAGACTTCGCAGAGAGCCCAAGAGGGCTCCAAGAGAGCCTCGGGAGGGCCCAAGAGGGGGAACGCGAACTGACGCTCCGAGCCCTCCGCCCCAAGAGGACACTCGACACCGTTGGCAAGCCTGCAAGAAACCCCAGGCCCCGAAGAAGCCCAACATAGGTTATCATCGCCAAGAACTATGTTCATCCGGAGAACAAGCAGCCGAAACACCGGCGTTTTACTCGCGGTCGCTTTGCAGCAACAGTTTAAGATATCCCTCCCTCCTCCTCTCCTCCCAAGATCCCCCCCCTCCTCCCCTCCCCTCATCCTCCTGCTCCCCGGTGCTGACGCAACTGGCGCTCTGCGGAAATAGGCGCCCGTCAGCCTCACGTTTGCAATGCCCGCACAGGCGCGCGCGCGGAGAGGGGCAGGGGGGAGGGGGCAGGAGAATGGAGGAGAATGGGGGCGGAAGAAAAGGAGGAGGATGAGGAGGATGGAGGAGGGAAGAGGGAGAGAGAAGGGTCCTGCCATGGACTCCAGATCCCACTGCTTCCCAGACCACGGGGCCCCCGTGCACACCTGGGGAACCGGCGCGCCAGTGTACACCCACCAAACGCACGCACGTGCCAGTGCACACCCGGGGAACCAGCAAGCCAGTGTACACCAACCAGCCCAGACACGAACGGCTCCGACGGAGTCGCAATGTGTCCTCACACTGGGCGTGGTCATTGGGGCAGCGAGGCCCGCCGGACCCGGTGTTCACTGGGACGAACTTGCGAAGATGTCTCAGGCGAAACGCCAGTGTCTACCCACACGGGGATCCCAGCGCACACCCGGTCGCGCGGCGAACCGACAGCGAACGAACTTGATGTCCGACGTCGGAGAGTCCAGCGCCAGAGCACCACCGCGCACCCCGAGCGGGAACGGCCCAGTGCACACCCACCAGAAGCGAGTCCCAGTGTACACCAGTGTACACCTCCTCCTCCTCCTCCTCCTCCTCCTCCTCCTCCTCCTCCTCCCCGCATGCGCATTCGACCCCGCACCCCGCGGGAACGGACCAGTGTACACCTCCTGAGAACGAATCCCAGTGTACACCCCCTGCAAAGGAGTCCCAGTGCGCACCCTGTGCAAGCAAATGGCCTATGGGGGTTCCACAACGATGGAGAACGGGACGAATGATCCTAAGTTCTGCCACCGCTACCCCGCCGACCCCAGCGCCCTCCTCCCCCCCGTTCTGCCCCCCCCGCTCCGATGGAGATGATGGCGAACATGGGTCGAACGTCGGAAGTCGTCTCATGCGCGGGACTAGAAAAGACGAGCGCGCAACTGCCCAGGAAGAACCGACGTCCACGACAACAGCGCTCTTCGCGCACGCCACGCGGAACAAACTATCCAAACGCAGCTCAACCCAAGGAATTGCAAAATTGGGCATCGAAAGTGGGCAAATGAAAAACCGAAAGGTCTGAAAACCGTGTACCAGTGAGACATAGCACGCCTGGTAACGAACATAGGTTCCAGACGGCTCCAACATGGTCCCAAAAGGCATCAACAGACATCACATCAACAGTGTCTTCAAGACGCCCCCCCCAGAAGCTCCCTCATGAGCTGAGTCCTTCGAAAGACGTTCGAACATCCCCGAATATAATTAATGTACGACACTCCAACGAGCCGTCCAGCTGCCTGCGGTCCAGGTGAACTCCGAGGCCATCTACTTGCTTCCCAACCCCCTTTTGCTTCCCTTGCGCAATGCGACAATACAGCGATCGAACGACCTGATGCCCCTCGCGTCGTGAAAAAAGGCAACAGGAAATTGTAACTACTTTTGGCCTCCAGGAACTCACCAGGAAGGTTCCAAGAAGCTGCCAGAGCGAAAGATCCGCGAAAGCCTTCATCGTTGATTCCTGTCGGCGTAACCGTCGCCCTGCATGCCCCTCCCACTATTGACCCGCATCGCAGGCACGGTGGAGGTATGGGTCGCAGGCCGTCATACAGAGTTGAGAAAGGTACCACGCGGGTGCGCTATAGAGGTGAGGATGTAGAGGACAACACAAGTAAATCATAGACAGCACGGAGCGCACAATCGAAGACACACACACACATGTATACACACACACGCGCGAGGAACAAGACTCGTCAGTTTTTGAACCCGCCCAGTTGAAGCACGGGCACCATATTAAATGCTGCTATTTGGCGTATTTTTGCTCGTTCCAAACATGTCGGTGGGTGGATCACAGGTGGGCCGTCAGTGAGGCGCGCGGGCGGGGACGAACAATGATGCTCTCTGACACTATTCAAACCTGCTCGCCGATAGCGCCGAATTGGTCCGGCACGAGGCAGGTGTCGCGGGTGGGTCGTCGGTGTCGGGGGTGGGTCGCGGGGCAAGGCGGGGAGGACCGTGCGGGGTCGGGGGTTGGGTCGGGAATCGGTCGCTAAGTGGAGGCCACATCAGCCAATCATCTAAAGACAGTGTAAGACAGCTGGACCCCCTCATTCCAATAACGGTATGTGTGAACATGCGAGCGTCTGTGTACATGCTTGCAGTAAACAAACTAATCGGTGTGAGCTCAAAACCGGCAATGTAGATCAAGGCGACTTAAACGTTGGCTTCTTCGGGAAGTCCGCTTTTACTCCCGCCGTCTTCCGTCAACAAAGCCGCCCTCGGTTGCCTCCTGCTGACATCCGCGGTGCCCTCCGCTGCCTTACGCCGACCACGAAGGGTCAACGCTTCGCTCCGTTGAGGAGGACCCCCGTCACGGAGCGACCCATACGTGCCCTCCCCCCTTCGACACACATGTTCCTACTTTAGTTGTGTTGCTTCCCTGTCGCTGAGACTACCAGCCCCTCCAGATCGGGCGGGGCAAGAGCAAGGGTAAAGCACGCTGTTAACACCTTAGGAGCACGACCACAAAATTGACGCCACAAACGCGACAATGAAAGCCTGGCGTTGCACTCAACATCCGCCGACCCTGTCGGCGTATGGAATGGGCTTTTCCGTTTGCCTCGACGCCGTCGCCGTTGCCGTCGCTGCCACGGAGCCCAACATCACAGAACTCATCCTCGAGCCGGACTCGCCGCGCCGTTGGGGTACTCGTCGCGTCGTTGGGGACGCCGCGCAGGGCTCCCGACGCACGCCCAGGTCGGCCACCTCCTCGGCTGCGGGGCGCTCGGCACGACACGGCACCCGAAGGGCAGTCATCCCCCGCGCGCGCGCGCGGGCCCCGACAGCACTTCTGCCTCCGCAGCACGCTGGCCGCCGCGGCGGGGCCTCTCGGCAGGCGGGCGCAGCTGCGCCGCGCGCCAGGCCGCCGCGGGGGGGCTCCGTCCCGGGGGGGAGCGCCGCCGCGCGCTGCGGGCAGCTCCTCTCGAGGACCTGCTCGTCCTCCACTGCGCCTCTGGTGGGGGCCGCGACGAGGACTGGCCTCGCGAGCCGCTCGCGCCGCAGCACCTCGTCCGCCGGCGCTTCGGCGCCCAGCGGGGGCCCGTCCGCCGGGCCCCCGTGCACCAGGGCGCGCAGCGCTCGCTCGCGGGCGTCGCGGGCCGGCCCTGCGGCGCGCCTCCCTGCGCTCTCTCGCCGAACGCCGCTGCGGGCAGCCCGCAAAGGCCGCCCCCCGCGCCACATAATCGCCCATACCAGGCCAGGACCCGGCTGGTCAGTCACGCTCCTGCGGTCTGCCGTGCTGGTCTGCCGCGCTCCGGTCCTCCTGTGGTCAGCCACGCTGGTCGGCCGTGCTGCTGTGGTCTGTCGCTTGGAGTGGCGCAAGGTGGCCTCCAACATGAGGCCAAAACAAACCCTATCAATGCTGCCTCAAGAGGCCACGGAACCTCCCAAGAAGGCCCTCCAAGAGGCCAACATCTTTCCAGAATGATGGGAAAACCTATGATTCGGGCCTTCTCGACGTTCCACTTCCAAAGAACTTCGGAGGCCTTTGTTTTCCATTTGCATCGGCACGAGATTAACACTTCCGTGTCCTGGCTAATGCCATCCGACACCTCGTGTCCCGCGTCACCGCCGACGAAGAGCTGTTTCGGCGGGGGTGGACTTCGCGGGAGGCCTCACGATGGCTTCAAGATTGCCGGAGAGAGCCTGAATAAGGGGCCCTTAAGGGCTCCAAGACGGCCCAAGAGCGCGAAGGAGTGCCCCACAAGAGCGCCAAGAGGCGACCTTGCGGGCCCAAGAGGGGTGCTCCTCATCGGCGCCGCCCCCTTTTTTGGGCCGATGCCCTCCAGGATCCATCCTTACCCGTCTCCTCCTCCCGCCTCATCCTTTTTCTCCAACCTTCCTACTCGTCATCGTCCCGCCCTCCTCCTCGTCCTCGTCTATCTCCTTCTCCTCCTCCTCCTCCTCTTCCTTCTGCCTTGTGGGCACTTTTCTGCAAAACTAACATTATGCTCTCCGTCCACCTCCTCCTCCTCCTCCGCCTCCTCATCCTCTTCTTCATCCTCCTCCTCATCCTCCTCCTCCTCCTCCTCCTCCTCCTCCAGTTCCTCCTCCTCCTCCTCATCTGTATTATCATCATTAACTTATCCTCCTCCTCCTCCTCCTCCAGTTCCTCATCATTATCATTCCTTCTCCGCCTCATCACCCTCTTTCGACAGGGCCACGAGGCAGTTGTGCTTCACTGCTGGGTCTGCTAAAGCTGACGTGGAACTGCGGCTTGACGTCTGTCTCCCTTTTTGTTTCGCTGCATGCTCCTGCGCCCTACGCGTGTCTGATCAATGCAACTCACCGGGGCTTCGTTCGTGGATGGGCTGGCAGGAACAAGCGAAGCGTCTAGCACTAGCATGGACTCACACGGCGCGCCGCGGTACAACTCTTCCGACAGGGACTCCAACGGCCAGTGCAGCGACCGATCCAACACAAGCGCAATCCATCCGGCGGCCAACACAGCGATGATCTGTGTCCAGGACGTGCTTCCCCGTGTCATGCTTGCACGTGGGGGCTCGCACTTGGCTTCCATGAAGGAATTCGATGGCTACGGCGGGCTTTCGGTTTGTGGCCCGCTAGTGGCCGCGTGTGGGCGCTTCGTGGTCGCCAGCAGGCGCCCTGTCCTTCCACCACGCAACTTGCACGACACAGACTGCACCGCATAGCTCGCATCACACAGCGTGCATCACGCAGCTTGCACCACGTAGCTTGCACCACAGATCTGGCGCTACGTAAATTGCACCGCATACCTACATTGCACCACATTGTTTCCACCGCACAGCCTGCAACACAAAGCTTGCACAACATAGACTGCGCCACATAGTTTACGCCAAATAGCTTGCACGGCGTAGATTGCACTGCATGGCTTGCACCACGTCGCTATACACCACGCGTATTGCACCACATGGCTTATACCACCCGTATTGCTCGACATAGTTTGCACAACAAGTCCTGCAGTCACCGCATCGTTTGACCAATATGTTTGCCCTGCGTAGCTTACATCGTATATGCATCTAGTGCACCCCGCAAATGGCACCATGCAGATTGCGCCGCATACATTGTAGCACATAGATTGCAAGAACACCGCATTCACCATTTAGCTGGCACCACACATTGCTCCACAGATATCGCACCACACATCTTGCTTGCACCACGCAGCTTGCACTAACCAACTCGCTCCACATATATTCAACCATGTATGCATAAATTGTTCCACGCCTATTGCGCCATGCATAGTGCGCCACATATATCGCACCATGCAGTTTGACACAATACTGATTGCACCGTACAGCTCTCTCCTCATAGCTTGCACCACGCACTTTGCACCACATAGCTTGCACCAAAAGCTTGCACCTCGTAGCTTGCAACACATGGCTTGCGCCACATGGCTTGCATCATATAGCTTCCACAACGTCGGCTGATCACAGATCTCACAATGCAGCAACTTACTGCTTGGGCCCAGAATGAATTACAGTCGAATAAGTGCAGATACCGTCCTCATTACAACGTCAGCTGCACCTCCGTGCGCAGAAACACCCTTTCAACCCGAGTGGTGCTTTTCAACACTTACAGTCGGAGTGCAGCATCCCCAAACAATAGTTTTGTTTAACCCACTGCGGTTTCCAAGGTCGATCGCGTGCCCGTCCAGTGCGGGCTGGCATGGCATGTTAGAACATGGTAACATGATGTTTGCACATGGAATGTTTCCACGAAAACTTGTGTGACGCATTCCTGCCAGGAAGCTCGCGCTAGATGGTGTCGTGCTCTCTCGCACCTGGTCGACGAGTAAGCTGTCGGGTCAGCACTGTCAGAAGCTCCACCGCCATGCTGTGAACTCGGAAGCAACTGTAAGAGGAAGCGGGGGAGGGCGCGGAAGCGGGGGGGCATGTCTCAAAGAAGAATCGTGACGGCAGATGTTTGGTGAGGGCGGAAGGCAGGGCGCGCGTGACGGATGCTGGGGCGGCAGAAACGACGACGGCGGAGACGGGGAGGCGGAGGCAGAGGCGCAGCAGCGGGAGGCGGGAGGCGGGGGGAGGGAGGAGGGAAGAGGAGCCAGGCGGGAAGCGGGAAAAGGGAGGCGGGAGAAGGAATGAGAGAGGTTGTGATTGGAGCCCCTGTGCTACGAAACGAAACGTCTCAGGCAGAACGGGCCAGACCATCTCGCGCGCAACATCTTCGAGCTTCGCATTGTGAGGATGGCTCAAGCGAAACGGGCCGGACCACCTCGCGAGCGACATCTTGGAGCTCAGTATTAGAAGGATGTCTCAAACGAAACGGGCCAGACAACCTCTCGCACACGTTCTGACAAGTCCACGTCACACTCGCTTCGCGTTAGGTCCTCTCCTGCAACTCTTTCCTTCTCCACCTTCTCCCCCTCCTCCTCCCCCTCCTCCTGCCTGCTCCCTCATCCACATCATCCTCCTCCTTCTCCCCTCCATCTCCTCCTCCTTCTCCTCCTCCTCCTCCTCCTCCTCCTCCTCCTCCACCTCCTCTTCATCCCGAATGGCATCTCGGAACCCAGAGTTGCGAGGATGTCTCCAGCGTAACGGACTGGACCACCTCGCGCGCGGCATCTCGGACCCCAGAGTTGCGACGATGTCTCGGGCGAAACGTGCTGCAAGGATGTCTCAGGCGAAACGGGCCGGACCACCTCGATCGCGGCGTCTCAGAGCTCCGAGTTGCGGGGGCCTCCTGGGGCCTCCTGGGCCCTCCTGGGGACCTCCTGGGGCTTCCTCCTGGGCCTCCTGTGGCATCCTGGACCCCACCTGGGCTTCCTGAAGCCTCTTGGGGCTCCCAGGGGGGGATATCTAACATGTGGCCGTCTGGGCCCTCCAGAATGGGGGGGGCACAAGAGCAGGAAAAATCAACGAATCGACACCAGATGTGGATTAACTTGACACGTTCAGACAGGGGGCCTCCTGGGGCCTCCTGGGAGCTTCGGGAATCTCCTGGGGACCCCTGGGGCCTGTCCTGGGCATCCTGCGGCCTCCTGAAGCTCTCTGGGGCCTCTTGGGGCTCCCAGGGTCCCAGGGGGGATATGTAACATATGGTCTTCTGGGCCCCCAGGCTGGACAACCTCTTGCGCGGCATCTGGGAGCTCAGAGTTGCGAGAATGTCTTGTGCGAAACGGGCCGGACCACCTTGCGCACGGCATCTCAGAGCTCAGAGTTGCGAGGATGTCTCAGGCGAGACGGGCCGGACCACCTCTCGCGCAGGGCATCTCCGAGATCAGAGTTGCGAGGATGTCTCAGGCGAAACGGGCTGGACCACATCGCGCGCGGCATCTCCGAGATCAGAGTTGCGAGGATGTCTCAGGCGAACTGGGCTGGACCACCTCTTGCGCGGCAGCTCAGAGCTCGGAATTTCGAGGATGTCTCAGGCGAAACGGGCCAGACCACCTCGCGCGCGGCATCTCAGAGCTCAGAGTTTCGAGGACGTCTCAATCGAAAAAGGCCGGACCACCTCTCGCGCGGCATCTCAGAATGCAAAAGTGCGAGGATGTTTCAAGTGAAACGGGCCGGACCACCTCTTGGGCGGCATCTCGGCTCAAGCGAAACGGGCCGGACCACCTCTCGCGCGGCATCTGGGAGCTCAAATTTTGGAGGATGTCTCAGGCGAAACGGGCCAGACCACCTCTTGCGCGGCATCTAGGAGCTCAGAGTTTGGAGGATGTCTCAAGCGAAACGCCCAATCCTGGACAACTCAGAAACGAGAGTTGCGAGGATGTCTCAGGCGAAACGGCCCGGACCACCGAATTTGTTTGAAGACGTCTCTGCTTTGAATTCCCTCGGCCGGAGTTAGCCTCTATCACAACAGCACCCCGTTCAGCAAGCTGTTTGGGGAACAAAACGATGACGAGCTCGGCGACGCGACCGTTAAGCCATTGAGCTGCCACAAACGCTGTGCACGAAGAAAGTGAAACGCCCGGCAAAGATGTCGGGCTGTCCCGCAATAGATGATTTGTAACACCATCTCTTTGCGGCGGCTGGCTCAAAGCTGAGACGAAAGACTGCGGGAAGTGAAACACGAACCCAGGTGGTGGTTTCATGAGTGGCCTACGACTTGCGTCCAAGGTGGATTCGTTTAAGCTGCGATCCAGGTAGCAGGAAGAGACGTGGGCAACAGGCTTCACGCAGATTTAAGCTTGATGAACCAATTCAGTAGCCTCCTGCAAGGGTGCGGCTTATTCGCGCAAACATCTTCAGAATCTGCTCCGTGTTGCACATCAGCACTGTAGATGTCTTTCTCGACAAAAACACGAGTAGCTCGAGCTGTCTCGGAGTGAACCCCGTCTGCAGCCTCCTGGTCAGGTGCGTCGGGAGGCTTACCCACAGCAGCTGGTGCTTTGCACTCGGCCGTGACGCCTTCTGATGTGAGAGCATCACTCTGAATCGGCCGGGTGCCACCCGCTGACCTCTCCTCGCCAGCCGTCGGCTTGCTCTTCGCTGCCGCCCCGCCGGCCCTGCTGGCGCCTCGATGGGGCACCCGAGGAGCATCGCTGCTGCACGAGGCGACCTCCGCCGCAGCTGCAGCAGCTGCTTTGGCAGCCGCAGCAGGCGGCTCATCCTTCCTCGATGCTGGCGCAGCCTCGTGGGCCGGCGGTGGAGGTGCAGGTTCTGCAGCGCCCGCGGCAGCAGCGGCCTTGGTCTTGGCCTTGGCAGCAGGCTTCGCGCCTGCAGCAGCACCTGCACCTTGCCCCTTCTTGCCTTTCTTCGTCTTCGGCGCTGTGATTGGAAAGCCGAATTCCCTCATCGCGTCGACGATACAATCGGAAACAGTTCGATCGCCCCTGTCACTTACCGCTAACCACAAGCAGTCCATATCTTCGATGCTGATGCGCTCGAGCTGGTCTTCCAATTCGTCCCTTTTCAACTCTGGCGCTTCTTTGTCGACCAACTTGAGAATATTCTTGCGCAGATTTTTCCTATGGTTATTCTGGGGTTTCTCCTGCTGGCGCTTCAGCTTGTCAGCCTGGAAAGCCTCTTTCGCGTGCCTGCGCTTCTCCCGCTGCTCCTCAGCAAACTTCTCGAGTGCAGCTCGGCGCTGTGATCGCTCCTGCTCCTGTTTCTGAAAATACTCATCGTCGTCCATCTCGAAATCAAAGAACCAACTGGGCTGGCCAGAAGCTCTTCCGCCTGGGCCACCACCGCTTGAACCTGGAAAGCCACCACCGCCTCCTCCTCCTCCAAAGAAGCTCGCCTTTATGAAGTCCTCAAAGCTGTCGTCATCGCCGAAGGCTCCGCCTCCGCCACCACCAAAAAAGTCAGCGAAACCGCTAGGGACACCACCTCTACCGAAGCTGAAACTAGCTCCGCCTGGAAAGCCACCACCCATGCCACCGCCTCCCATGGCACCGAATATGTCAGCAAAATGTGCTCCTCCACCCGGGAATCCGCCTGGAAAGCCACCGCCACCTCCACTAAACAAGTCGGCAAAATCAAACCCTCCAGCTCCCCCTGGAAAGTCACCGCCGCCTGGTAACCCTGGGTTTTTCAATTGATGGTCATATCGTCTCCGGGCATCTTCATCACCAAGAGTCTCATAGGCTCCCTGTATGCTCTGAAACGTTTCCTTGTCTCCACCCTTGTCTGGGTGATGGATCATCGCCATCTTCCGATATGCAGCTCGTATCTCCCGTTGATCTGCATCCTCTGCGACGCCAAGTATATCGTATTTATTTTCACTTGCCGCCATGCTGATATAGAGACCGACTGACAGCCCCTCCGTCTGAGAGCAGTCTCTCCAAGACAAGCGTTTCAGACTGGGGTTGCATATAAAGATGTGGGGCAGTGGTCTTGCTACCGGATCCAAAACTTGAGCCAAAATCGCTACGGCAGACTACCTCAAATTCCAGTGAGGCAATTTGCAGCTCAACCCGTGCTGGCAACTACGACGAGGGTGCTGAAAACTCAGCAGGGTATTCCTCCTGGTGCAACAGAACCGCTTGCTGTTCACCTTAGGCCATGCCGACTCTCTCTCTCTCTGTCTCTCTCTCTCTCTCCCTCTTCCCTACCTGTCTATCTAAATGTATATTTCTATATCTATCTTCTTCTATACACATATATATGTATATATATCTATGTGTGTATACCAATGCATGTGCACTATTGTACATGCACTTACTGATCAGCCGGATGTACACGTGCATGTATTACTGTTTCCTGGGTACACCCACCAGGACTACTGCTACTTCGCTCCCCGAAAGCACCCGCCGACTGACCCATCGTGGGAGAATGGCTTGCGGACAAGCGCATTCCATAAGCCTGTCCAGCGCCGCACGGCAACTTGCCAAAACGAGGTGCTGACTCTACGGAAACTGGGGAATGTGCCGCCGCCCAGACCGGGTCTTCAGTTCGGGGTGGAGTGGGAAGAGGCACTTCCAGCCATGTGGCGCACTCCGGAAACCCTGACCCCGAAAATGTCGATTTCTCTCGGCGAACCATCCTTTACTTCCGCCAGGCGCCGCCCGTCTTGCGTGCGCCAGCCTTCCGCTGGCCTTCCACCGAGGAAGAGACGTCAACTCTAGAGGGCAACATACAACGGCATAAAGATGATTTCTCGGAGGTCCACGCGGACTTCTTGGATCGGCACGACGAGCATGCCAGGGGCGGCGCAAGAGGCGACGAAAAGCGGGCCAGCGCCGATCCAAGAAATCCGCGCGGACCTCCAACAAATGATGCTCACCCAATGCTTCGACCTTAGACTTCTGGCGGCCTTCTGTCGAGGAAGAGATGCCAACTCCTTCCACCCTCGAAGGCGAGGCCCTCTCTGGAGCGCACCAGTTATGGATGGCGCGGGCGAGGTGCTCACCCCGATGCCACCGGCCAGCAGAACGCGCGTCCGCGACGCGGGCCTCGTCATTGACGGACTTGCAGACGGCGTCCTCGTAGTCCGGGAAGTTGCCAGCGCTGAGCTTCCTGCCAGCGCCCGGCAGGAGCGGCTAAAAGAACGAGCGCCCAGGCACTTGTTGATGGGGAGGGGGAGGAAGAGCAGGAGGAGCGGAGGGAACGGTGTGAGATCTCGGTGCGGAAATGAGGCTTGGCCTTCGGGAGCCCTGCGAACGGCCCTGGCACGCTCGGAGCCACCGGGATGCTCCAGCGCAAGCGAGCTCGAGATGCAGAATCCAAACTCATGGCGAGCCGAAACAAAACATGCCTGTCCGAGATGCTCAGACGCTGTGGCCATCGCACATATTTTACTGAGGGGCTGCACTCGGGGATGCACTGACCCGGGTCAATCCAGACCCGGGTCAGCTAGGCCTTGCAGGATCCTGCCAGATCCTGCGCCCAAGCCCATGTCAATGCGCCCCCAGCCCTGCAGGATCCTGCATCATCCGGCGCTCTGACTGACCCCCGTTTGCACTGACCCCCGTCCCTTGAGCCCCGACCCACATGGCCTCTGAGGAACCCGGCCTGCCTGTCACTGTCTGCTGGTGGCGGCTGGGGCTCTTGCGGGCTCCAGCAGCAGCCACGGCTGCTGCACACTCGAAGGCAGGTGGCCGCTCGTAGGCAACCCCGTATGGACCCTATCTTTTTGAATATTCCTTTTTCATTTTAAGTTTAAAGGGCCATATCCCCTCGTAGGGCTTTTTTACAATGTTTGAACATTTTGGGACTATGTTTTATTCCCTTTGGTTCAACCCTTGAATCATTTAGCCCCTACCCCGGGTTACTTTGAATCATTCGTTCAACCCTTACTCGAAGGCAGGTGGCCGCTCGTAGGCAACCCCGTATGGTCAGGGATCTTCTGACCCGGGTCAATCCAGACCCGGGTCAATCAGGCCTGCAAAATCCTGCAAGATCCTGCACCCAAACCCAGGTCAATGCGAAGGATCCTGCAGGATCCTGCAGGATCCTGCACCCAAACCCGGGTCAATGCGACCCTGGCGCTGCAGGATCCTGCAAGATCCGGCGCTCGGGCTGACCCCCGTCTGCCCTGACCCCCGTCTCGAGGCTCCTGATATGGGCCGAGTCCTTGAACACCGGGACAATGTCAGGAGGAAACATCGGCCTGGAATCGGCGATCCATCGCCGACCTATTGGCGATTGGCGCCCGATAGCGAAAGCGCACGGCCCTGGCCGGTGTGGGCTCTCAGGCCCCGTCGGCGATCAATGTCCGACTGGGGGTCGTTGCGTTCCCCCCTGGGCCTGCCTTCCCTCTAATGCTTCCCCTGACCTGCGCCTGCAGGTCCGATGTCTGAAACCCTGGCTGATGTTCAGAATTCGAAGTCTGTCTGCAAGCAGGCGAACCCCCCGCGGGAGTGTCCGATACCTCAACCTCGATCGGACAAGTAATTGTCAGGGTTCGCAGGCGGTCGCAGACGCTTGGGTTCCTATGGTGGGCTTTTGTACTTCCTGTTGAAGCAGTCGTTGCATGTTTGGGAGGCGGCTTAGTCAAGACGAAAATGATGTCATGATACGATTGGCTCAGGGTTCATACCAGGAATCTCAGGGTATCTGGCGGCCCTCGTTTCTGGAGCCCGTGCGGAATAACCAGAAGTCTGGAAAAGCCTGGAACTCTTGAAAATCCTGGAACGCATCATGCTTCTGTGCCCTCGTAACCCCTAGGGCCGCAGGTGCCCCTGGTGCTCCAAAGGGGCTCCTCGCGGCGTCGTGCCGGGAGCCCACGCGGGCTCCCGGCCAGCGATGTCCGCGGCAGGGGGGCGAGGGGGGCGGTGCACGTGGCAAGAAGCCCACGGGCCCCATACGGGGCCCACGCGTGCTCCGACGCCCCTGCGTCGGGAAGGACCGCGACGGGAGGCCAGAGGTCCATTCTCGGCCTCCGGGGCGGGGTCCCCTGCCGCGCTCCCAAGACGTCATCCGAACGGCTGGGAGTGAGGAAGTGGTCCCCGGGAGGGGTCCGGGGCTCTTGCGAGCCTCGCTGCAGAAAAGAACTGCGTGGCCGATCTCTGTTGGCGGCCGGGATGGGATCCAAATTTTCCCAAGCGCCCGCGCCGTCGTCGTCGTCTTCGCCGCCGCCGCCGCCGCCGTCGTCGTCGTCGTCGTCGTTGTCGTCGGTCTCGTCGTCGTCGTCCTCGTCGTCGTTCAGGGTCGGGGGCACCCCAGTCCTACGGCCGACTTCTGTGGGCGGCCGGGGTTGGATCCCGATTTCCCCAAGCTCCCGGGAGAAAATGCGCCGATCTCGGTGTCCGTGGGGCTCCCAGGCTCCCGGTGCGGGGCGTTGGCCACCATCGTGTGAGGACCGGCCAGGAGCTGCCACACATGTGTCAGTGGTCCATATGGGCGGCAGGGGTTTCCGGCTCCAGCTCCTGGTGGAGATGTCTGGCCGATTCAGAGTTTCGAGGCTGCAGAGGGCAGAGCAGAGGGACCGAAGGAGCGGGGGCTTGCTGGACAGAGGAAAGGAGCACGTGCTGAGCCGTGTGGCGCTCGGTGTGGCAGCAATCTTCCAGAACGCAAGTGCTTTCTGCTACAGCATCTAAGAGTCGAGCTTTAGCTTAGGAGAACTTCGCCGTGCACTTCGCACTTCGAGCTTGAGCTTAAGAGGCATCCACTGGGATGTCACTCTTCAGCTTGGGCGTAGACAGCTTCACCTTGAGCACAGAGACCTCCGCGTCTGGGGTAAGAACGGATTCGAAAGGTCCAGGGAAGTTCAGGAAGGGTGACGTGTTCGTGGCGTTACCGCTCCGGTTTGGCACTGCAACTTGTGCGCTGCATGTGGTGCTTGCACTCGGCATCAAGGCTTCCAACGTGTTTTATTGCTGTAGCTTGAGCAGGCATCTTCCGCGTGCGAGGCTGATAATGGTTTCGGGAGGTCCATGGAAACCTAGTGATTCGACAACAGCAAGACGCTAAACTTGAGTTTAAGTTAGATTTACTGCAACCGATTTTGAGGTGAATATTTCTTGTGCATTCTCCTTCCTGGCTTTAAGCTTGTTGCACTGCGTCAACTTGTCCGTATAGGATTAAGGCGAAGCCCAGAGTTCCGCGTGTGATGAGGTAGCTGTTCCAGAATGTTCCAGGAAGTTCTGGGAGGGCGTGCTGCGACGAAACGAACTCCCTGTGGAGCTGGATTGCTTGTGTGCTGCATTCTCTATATGTCCTGCACGCTCCTTGCATCATGCGTCCTGCAGGCTGCTCTGGCTGCCAGCTGGTCTGCAAAGAATTCGTGGCATTGATTTGCACTGCGTTGCACGTTTTCCCGAAACTTCGGCTGCTTCCTGTCTGGCCTTCGCCGGGCTGGCTGCTCCGACTCGTCTGGCTGCTCCAGCGGGTGGGAAGACTGCCCACTGCTCTGGCTATTATTACAATGAAGGGGCCCTGGGACACCCAAATAAATACACACAAATAACAGGATTCCCACTGTTTTCATATATTTACACACGAATAACAGGATTCCGCATATTTTCCCGTATGTTCTTGATCTTTGTCTTCCCCCCCACTTCCCATATTTTCCTATATTTTCCTGGGAGTCGACGATTAATTGTGTCTGTGTGTTTCTTTCCCTCCTGATACAGGTCCGGCTGACCTGCAGACTCTGCGCTGCAATTCTTTTGGTGTGCATAGTTCTTCTGCACGCTGCCCCTGGCTGCTCTGGCTGTCGGCTGGTCTGACAACACTGCGGTGCAGAGTTTCCGCACTGCGCGTGTCGCTGGACTGGCTGCTCTGCCGACTCTCCATGTCATGTCGTGTGCAATGCATTTTTGTTTCGCTGCTGTCTGGCTCGCATTGTGCTTCCAGGATGCTTTGGTCATACGGCTGGGCTGCCAACATGTTGCAATTGTTTTGTACTGGACTTTTCTGCGTCAATTGTTTGCTTCCTGACTGGTCTGGCCGGCCTGACTTCCCCGGCCTGGTCTAACATATCGGCGTTGCACTTCTTGTGCGCTGTATTGTCATGGTGCGCTGCATGTTGTTGCACTCTGCTTCCTGGCTGTTTCGGCTGATCTGGCTTATCTGTCGAGACTGCGTTGCAAAGTATCATCAATTCGCTTTTTGTTGGTTCTGCCTCTTGCTAGTACAGCTGCTCTGACTGGGCCATGTGGTCTTCTGGCTCTGGCTGGTCGAAGCGGTCTGGCTAGTCTGACTGGTATGGCTGGTGCGGCGACTCTACCGAGTCTTACTGGTATGGCTAGATCTGCCTGCTCTGGCTAGACTAGCTGGTCTCCCCGAACCCATGTTGCATTGAACCTCTTGTTGCGTTTCAGTCGTCTGGGCGCTGCAACTCCGTCAGTAAGGACGAGGACGAGCAGCGCCAGCAATAGGAACAGCGACAGAAACCACATCAGCGCGAGAGGAGGAGGAATCATTCAATGATGGCCAGAGAGAGGTGGGTGGACGGAGGCAGCTGAGTCAGCAGTCATATCATTCGTATGCCCCAGAAGAAAAGCACGGCGTAGGGTCATAAGAACGAGTCGCTCCAAGAAGCTTCGCATAGACGAGTGACTAATGCAGGAAGCAGACAGAGGGAGGAAAAGAGAGAGAGAGAGAGAGTGAGACGGGGGCAGGGAGATAGAGGGCAGAAAGCATGCAGGGCGAAAGGCATGTAGCAGAAGGGCATGAAGCAGAAAACATAATGCAGAAAACAGAGAGCACAGAGCAGGCAGCAAGGAGTGGATAGACAAGGGTAGAGAGTCGAGGGCACATTGAGGACAGAGTGGAGAATAAAGAGTGGACCGCTGAAACCAAGTGTGCAGGAGAAGGGCCGAGTGTGGAAACCAGATAATCGACGGAATAGCTAAGTGTAAATGGGGAGCAGCAACCAAAACGAAAGAGAAAAACCCAAGGCCATCCACATTCGTCATCCTTTGCTCGCGCCTACCACCAGAACGCTGCGTACATGTCATGTGAGAGCAGCTGACTTGGTATTTTTCTGTGCGGTATGTACGCGCACATACATCGCAGTGAGAGGGAAAAGACGAGGGGAAAAGACAGCCCTGGTGGCGAGCCCAACTGGAGAAGGAGGAGGAGGAAGAGCAGCAGGAGAATGAGCGATGAGCGATGAGAACGAAAAAGAACAAGGACGAAGAGAAGGACGGGGGGAGAGGATGAGACTGGGAGGCAGGCAGGCGACGCTCTAGCAAAAACTGCCCCGATTACGGGGATGGGCGTGCATCGCCGCGCGTAGCGACGACCAGGAGGACGGGGCTGAGGCAAGCGAGAGCTAAATTCGAGGATTGCCAGACACCCCGAAGCTGAACGCCATCTAGTGAAAGCTGCCAAGGGCAGTCCACGCACGCACGACGCAGCATTCCACGAGGACCAAGGCGGAAGATCTGATCGAAACCCACAGACTTCCGAACGAACTTCGGAAAACACACGTCGATCAGCGAAAGCGACGGAGAACTGCAATGATGCTCTGCGAATGCCAATTTCGAGTGAATCGGTGCAGGGCGTTCGTGTCTACTTATCTGGGCGGGCATTCTTTCATTACTTGCAATGGTAAAAGCTACAGGCAGAGTGTTGTAGCAGAGCGTCCAGACATGTAGCACTCGAAAACAACTGATACACACATGCATCGGGATTCAGGCCAAAAAGCTGCATCATCAAGGCCGGAGATTCAGGCAAAAAACACATATAACTGGCCAGTGCCAAGGCGACAGACGGGCGATGGGGAGCGGCAGGGTCGTGCCAGGTGAAACTGACACGCATGCACGGCAAATATTGACCTCACATGCCGTACATCACATGTATGCGACCCTGGCAGAGCGACCGGCAGCTCCAGCCTCGAACACCCGCGTTTTCGCAGCTCCAGCCTCGAACCGCCTCCTCACAACTCCGTGTTTTTCGCAGCTCCAGCCTCGAACACCGCGTTTCCAGCACGTGCACGACAAGATCGTGGATCCAGTACCTTTGCTCTGGGCTCCCCGAGCGCCTTGCAAGCTGAACGCTGGCGTTCCAGACTCGCCTTAGGCGGAAGTCCGCGGCCCTCCTAGGAGTCTGCGCACCTTCGGGCGAGCTCCGGGCCAAACGGGCGCAGCCCTTTAAGAATGCGCTGGCAGCAACGAAAATGACAGCAGGTCCGCCCAGACCAACACGAGCACGCCACACAGCCATCAGGGGCACCCGGAGCCAGACGCGGCGGGTTCAAGAGACCCTGCACCCAAAAATGCTGTCATCTCTAGGTGAAGAAAAACGACATGACATAACGTGTTGGCGCTCCGCGCGGATCTCTTAGATCTACGCAGAACCCCCCTCCCTGGCGCGCGGAGCGCGCCAGGGGCGGCGCCGGAGACGCCACCAGGGGGGCCCAGCGCGGATCCAAGAAATCCGCGCGGAGCGCGAAACATTTATGTCTATCGCGATTGTTCTTCTTCGGATCTCTCGGCGGCGCATCTTTTACTGTCGCCAACTTCCGCTGGCCTTAGTCCGGCTTCCGCCAGCGGAGGCAGCCTCGTCTTACTTCCCCCAGCTTCCGGCGGCCTTCCGCCGAGGAAGAGATGGCAAATCCTTCAGTCCTCAAAGGCGAAGCCCTTTCCAGACTAATTTACGCAAGCAGGAGGGTGGGAGGACACCCTAACAGAGGAGCACCATGTCGGATGCTTCGAACTAAGAAATTACGGGTCTGAGGTCGTTTAGCCCCGGCCGCCTCGCGAATTTGGGTGTCAAGTGTTGCCCCTTGGGTCGAGTCCTGGCCTCGACCTAGCCCATGTCGGGGGGGGGGCCAAGAAATCCGCGCGGACCTCCGACACTTTCTGCTGGCCTCCCTTCTCCGAAGATACTTGGAACGGGCATCCGGCATGGTCGGCGGTGCAACTCCGACAGTGCGCCCGCTGTGCTCTCTGCCGGGGCAGGCCCTGGAAGGATCACCTCCTGGAAATCCAGACCCTGCTTCTTTTTGTTTCACGGCGTTGCCCTCGGACCTCCCGCCCCCTTCCTCGAGGCAGGCTTTTCCCCTGCAGAGGTACTCTGCACGACCCGCGACCCAATTTAGGCTCCAGGACGTCGGAACAACGAACCAACCTGCGTAGTGCCCTCTTACGCGATGGCACAAAGTCTGGGGCCCTCCCGGTCTCCCGGTGAACTCGCTCGTGTTCGCGGACTCGCTGCACTCGACGGTGGGGTCCTGCAGAGGCGCGGAGGCACAGAGGCCCTCGACGGAGAGGTCGAGGCGAGGAGGAAGGTGCGGAGGAGGCGGTGACAAGCAGGGGAGGGGGGGATCGGGGGATGGAGGGGGGCGAGGAGGCCGAGGGGGAGCAGAGGCATGAGGATCCACAGATGAAAAGAAGAGGACAAAGACGGCGGACGGAGAGGGTCCCCGCAATGATCGGGGGAGGGGGTAATGATTAGGAGGGCCCCAGCCACCCCCCCAATGGAACGTTCGCTCCTCCCCGTCTCTCCGTCCACCGCGTCATCAACCCTTGCTTCCCTCCACCGAACAACAACCCTCTGTTCTATTCGGTTTCTAAAAACGCTGTGGACGAGTTTCTTTAACCGTTTTGCACTTTGGGCTCTTGACAAGCTAAAAACGCAAACAATCAAACAAAAAAAGCTACGTTGTTTCAGCGTTGTTTCCCCAACCATCCTGTGGGGTTGGGTCCTCGTTTTGAAGAGACAGCGCCCGCGTCCTCCTTCCTTCTCCTCCCGCTGCATCCCCTCCCTCTCGAAGAAGAAGAAGAAGAAGAAGAAGAAGAGGAGGAGGTGGAGGGGGAAAAGGAGGAGGAGGAGGAGAAGGATGCTCTGAAACATATCTAAGGCTGAATGCTCTGAAACTCACTGCTCTGAAGCTTTCACTGCTCCGAAACTCATCGCTCTGAGATTCATGTCTCTGAAATTCATTGCTCTCAAACTCATTGCCCTGAAACTCATGGTTCCGAAACTCACTCCTCGAGAACTTCCTCCAAGGCCCATCGCCCTGAAACTCAAAAGCTCATTGATCCGAAACTCATTGCTCTGAAACTCCCACTGCCCAGAAACACATTGCTCTGAAACTCAGTGCTCTGAAACGCGTTGCTCTGAAGCTCATTGCTCTGAAGCTGATTGCTCTGGAACTCATTGCTATGAAACTCATTGTTCTGAAACTCATTATTCAAGAACTTGCTCAAAGTCCCAGTGCTTTGAAACTCTCACTCTGAAAGCTCAAGGGCTCACGACACGCTGACGAAATACATGCCAAGGAACTCCGTTCCTCGTCCTCCTCCGTATCCTCCTCCTCCGCCTTCTCCTCCTCCTCCTCCTCCGACACGCCGGTTCGTATTGCAAGCCTTCCTGTGAACAAGCTCGAGAGTCCTTCCGTGTGGATATCCCAGGAGGCATTGTCCGATGGTATAAAATACCGTCTGCCATTACTCAGCACAGGAGAGGTCTTCACAGATGGATCTCTCTTGTACGGTGATTTTGTACCCCCTCGGCGTGCTGGGTGGAGCTTCGCCACCTTAGATGCCTCGGGGGAGAAGCTTGCTTTTTCCGCTTTCGGCCCCCTTCCCCTGCCTCAAAATCGGCAAGGGATTTACCCGTCAGAGCTGTACGCTATCCTTCAGGTGCTGAGGAGCGCGATGCCGCCCCTCAAAACCTATTGTGACTGCCAGGCTGTAATCGACGGAGCGTCCAGGGGGGAGGAGTGATGCTCGTCCCCTGCCAGGGCCCACAGCGATCTCTGGCGAGAGTTTTGGTTCCTGGTCAACGATCTTGGAGGGCTGGGCCCCAGGACCATCCAGATAATAAACATTAAGGCCCACGCCACTCGCGCCGCTGAGAGACTGTTCAAAGGCAACCGCTTCGCGGACGAATACGCGAAGAAGGGGTCAAAGTTGTGCGCACATCCGTTCTGGCAGCGTCAGGCGTATACCATGGTAGCAGACGCCCTAGAGTTTGCTGTCAGGCTCGGCGCACTGTCGTCCGAAGTCGTCGATACGATTACCGATGTCGAACCGAGCAGCATCAGTGGACCAGCCCCGAGTCAGGCCGCCGAGTCGAATCCTGCTCCTCCTCTGATGCCGCCCCCTTCCCCGTCTGTGGGCCCCAGGGACCGCCGTACTCCCAGGGCCACGATCCAGACTCAGAGCGGGCCGTCGGGCGCAGAATCTGTCGAATTCGATGCCCGACAAGCACGCATCCTCAAGGCACAGGGGTTAGGACACCACCTTGTGTTTCGCCCCAATTTTGTATTATGCAGGCGATGCGCTTCCTACGCTCGGTGTAAGTGGACGAACCTTGTGAAGGAGGGCTGCAAGCCCGCCCGAGCTCGGACGGCCAAGGGTCGACTGACGCGTTTGTGGGAGGGCCGCCATCCGTCAACAGGGAAGCCCTTGTAAGTTCAGACTTGCACGGCGAAGGCGGCTTGCGTGGTGTTTTCCATCTGCGTAAGTCCTAAGTAGCACAATCCTATCACAATCCTCCTCCTCCTCCTCCTCCTCCTCCTCCTCCTCCTCCTCCTCCTCCTCCTCCTCCTCCTCCCCCTCATCCTCTTTCCCCCCCCCTCCTCCTCCCCTCCTCCTCCTCCTCCTCCTCCTCCTCCTCCTCCTCCTCCTCCTCCTCCTCCTCCTCCTCCTGATCATCATATTCCTCCTCCTCCTCCTCCTCCTCCTCCTCCTCCTACTTCTACTCCTACTCCTACTCCTAATCCTATTCCTCCACCTTCTCCGTCTCCTCCGCTTCCTCCGTCCCCTCCTCCTCCGATGCAACGGTTCTCATTGCAAGCCTTCCTACAAACAAGCTCGAAATCCCTTCCGCGTGGATGGTAGCCCAGGAGGCATTGTCCGATGGGGGAACTAACCGTCTACCATTATTCAGCACGGCGCGCACTAGTGGGAAACTCGTCCTCCTCCTCCTCCTCCTCCTCCTCCTCCTCCTCCTCCTCCTCCTCCTCCTCCTCCTCCTCCTCCTCCTCCTCCTCCTCCTCCTCCTCATCATCATCATCATCATCATCATCATCATCATCATCATCATATTCCTCCTCCTCCTACTTCTACCTCTACTCCTACTCCTACTCCTACTCCTCCACCGTCTCCGTCTCCTCCTCTTCCTCCTTCCCCTCCTCCTCCGATGCATCGATGCTTATTGCAAGCCTTCCTACGAACAAGCTCGAAATCCCTTCCGCGTGGAGGGTAGCCCAAGAGGCATTGTCCGGTGAGAGAAATAACCGTCCACCATTATTCAGCACGGCGCGCACTAGTGGGAACACATTCCTCCGCCTCCTCCTTATCCTCCTTTTCCTCCTCCTCCTCCCCCTCCTCCTCCTCCTCCTCCTCCTCCTCATTAGTTGCTCCTCCTCCTCCTCTCCTCCTCCTCCTCCTCCTCCTCCTCCTCCTCCTCCCCCCCCTCCTCCTCCTCCTCCTCCTCCTCCTCCTCTCCTCCTCCTCCTCTCCTCGTCCTCCTCCTCGTCCTCCTCCTCCTCCTCCTCCTCCTCCTCCTCCTCCTCCTCCCCCTACTCGTCCACCTTCCCCTTCTCCTCCTCTTCATCCTTCCCCTCCTCCTCTGACGCATCGGTTCTTACTGGGAACCTTCCTACGAGCAAGCTCGAACATCCTTCCGCGTGGAGGGTCGCCCAGGAGGCCTTGTCCGATGGGGGGAAATAACCGTCTGCCATTATTCAGCACGGTGCGCACGAGTGGGAAACTAATTAATTCTCCTCCTCCTCCTCCTCATCATCATCGTCCTTATCCTCCTCCTCCTCCTCCTCCTCCTCCTGCCCCCTGGTCCTCCTCCTCCTCCCCCCTCCTCCTCCCCTCCTCCTCCTCCTCCTTCTCCTTCTCCTCCTCCTCCTCCTCCTCCTCCCCTCCTGCTCTGTCCCCCTCCCTCCTCCCTCTTCTCCTCCTCCTCCTCCGCCTCGCCCTTCTCCTCCTCCTCCTCCTCCTCCTCCTCCGCCTCCTCCTCCGGCCTCCTCCTCCTCCTCCTTCTCCTCCTCCTCCTCCTCCCTCCTCCTCCTCCTCATCCTCCTCCTCCTCCTCCTCCTCCTCCTCCTCTCCTCCTCTCAGCTTAGGTAACAGGGGTGTCATTAAGTTATGCCTCGCCAGTGCTTGCAAGAAAGCTTCTTGACCCTAGCAGGAGGAGGAGCAAGGGGAGGAGGAGGAACAAGAGGAGGAGGGAGGGAGGAGGGATGGCCAGTCCATTCACCGCTGGGAGCTCCAGAGGGGGGGGGGGGGGGGGGCAAAACTATAGACTTCTAGAGTCTATCTGTATATAAATATAGATATATAACATCTATATAACATCGAGGCGAGCCGCTGTGTTTCGAACGTTTGCGAATAAGCACCATGCGAGTCGTGGGGCGCGGTCGGCGGGTCCTCCTGCTTCGCCTTGAGGCAGTCGACGACGGAGGTGATGTTCCTGGGCTCCTCTGCCGCGCGGGGAGCTCCGCCGACGGAGGGCGACGGGGGGGGGGGGGCGAGGGGCGAGGGGGGGGGGCCCAGGGGAGGAGAGGGCGCGTCCCCCGACGGCCTCTCGAGACAGCAGCCCAGATCTCGTGGGTGAGTGGAAGAGGCCTGCGCCGTGGGGAGGAGGAAGGAGGAGGAGGAGGAGGAGGAGGAGGAGGAGGAGGAGGAGGAGGAGGAAGAGGGCCGGCGGGAGAGAGGCCAGGATGGGCAGGAATTGTTGGGGAGGAGAGTGAGGAGATCAGGTGGAGTGCTGGTAGCAGCACAAGGGAGAACGACGTTGAGAGGGCGATGACGGAGGAATGGGGAGAGGAGGGGAGAAAGGAGGGATGGTGAGAGGGAGGAGGAAGATGACGATGGAAGAGGGAGAAGGAAGTCAGGTGATGACGGAGGGGAAGGAGGACGACGATGAGGAGGCAAGACGACGAGCCGAACTGGGAGGGATGAGGAAGAGAAGGGGGAAAGTGGCGGGATGAGGCCGCAGTGGTCGACATGGGCAGAGGAAAGGGGAGGCAGGAGGGCGGCGAGGTTGATGTGGGCGAGCATGGTACAGGAGGCGGAGGATGGGGACGTGGAATAATCACCATGCGGGCAGCAGGGGAAACGGGGAGGAGGAGAGGGGAGGAGGCGGAGGAGGAAGGATATCCGAAGGAACAGAAAGGGTGATATGAGGGAGAAGAGGACTAGAGGGTCTGGGGAGGAGGGGAGAGCAGGAGAGCAGGACGAAGGAAGAGGGAGGTGGTTTTTGTCAAATGAGGAGGATGAGGCGGAGAAGCGGGAGAGAGGAGAGAGGAGGGAGGATGAAGAGGAGGAAGACGAGGAGGAGGGAAAATGGAGGAGGAGGAGAAGGAATACAAGGGAGCCGAGGGGGAGAGGAGGAGGAGGTAGGGAGGGAGGAAGGGAGGAAGAGGATGAGAAGATGGGGGAGGGGAAAGAGGGAGAGAATGACAAGGAGGGGCGAGGTGGAATTGAATGAGAATGGGGAGACGTGGGGATCAGGCGGAGACGACGGAAGGAACGAGCATGGACAAGAGAAGCCGCATGATGCGTCAACGATGCTGCAATACCCGCTCCTGTCCAACGCTCCATCCTCAAGTATTCCTTTCTACTGTTGGAAGCGCCCCCCGTCATGGACGGGCCCCTGGTGGACCTGCCACTCAGGCGAGACCCATTGTGCCAGATGTAAAGGATTCACACACCATCCTGGTTGCTAAAAGGAACGCAAATCTGTAGGATGAGAAGCTTCTCAAAAGCATCCTGCTAGAACTTTAACTGAGCCAGCCTCTACTGTATACTGATAACTGATGAAAGCTTTGATGAATGAATGCGCGCGGCACTATGGCGAGAGCCGCGCTTTGAAAACGAGCAAGCATCCGACCTTTTGTTGGAAGCTTCGAGCCATGATAGAGCCGCTTCTTGAAACGGTCAGCCCTACACCAAAGCAGGCACTGGCAACCTTCAAAAGCGAATGTGCGCGGCGCTGATAGCTGACTTACAAGTTTTGAAAGCGACAGCCGTCCGTCCTTTCATCTGCTGGAGCATTTTAGCTTCACGAAAGCGACTGACTCTAAGCGCAAGGGAGCCTCAAGCGAATCGCCCGGCCTGGCCTACGGATACGCCTGGTGGCGCGAGACAAAGGGATTGAGGAGGAGGAAGAAGAATAAGATAGTGATGACAAGGGTAATGAAGAGGGAATGGGGGGGATGAGGAGGAGAAGGATGAGCATGGCGAGCCTGAGGAGACAGAGTGGGGGGTAGAGGGGAGAAAGGGAGGAGGAAGCGAGCCTGGAATGGATTAAGATGAGGCAGAGGGGTAGGGAAGACGAGCACGACAGAGCTGAACACGAGGTGTGAGGAGGGGGAGCATGCCGACGTCACAACCTGTGCGAGGCGTTGCTCAGAACGGCCCCCCGCCAAGGCACACCTCGTGGGGCCCTGTGTTCCGCAGATGCGCGACTGCGCATGCGGCCACTTTGCAGCCCTGCGCCCGTCATCGACTTCGATGCTTTATGCAAGGCGGGGGCTTACCCATAAGGTCGCGGACTTTTGCTCAGCGTGTTGCGGCGGCGGCGGCCCCATCGACACGCTGGGCCTTGCAAGCGGACAGCGTGCTGCTCCGCTCCGCGGGTGCGGGAGGCTGGGAAAGGCTCGGCACGCGGACGCCTGACCGCGAAGTGGGTAGCGCTTCGCGCGGAGGCGTGATGGGCCAGCATGTTCGGAGAAACGCGCTATCCAAAAGTTCCAAACCTTTTTAGCCGCCCCCTGGGGAAATCGATCTCCGGTGACCTCGGCGGGCGGTGCCCGAGTGCACGACCCGGCAGAAGGCGTGCGAGCACGCGCGGGCGCTGCCGAGCTGCTGAAAACACGGGCCGCCCGCCGACCCCGAGCGAGAACCGTGCAGCGGAGGCTGCGCCCGTGGCCCGTCACCCGCTCCGCCATTCGACGCCCGGGTTCTCGCCGCGCCTCTCTTCGTGCCGGGCGCTCGGCAGCAGTTCTCCGAATCCGGAGGGGGACTTCGCCGTGCCGTTTCCATGCTCGCTCGTCTCCTCCTCCTCCTCCTCCTCCTCCTCATCCTCCTCATCCTCCTCCTCCGCCGAACGTTCCGGGAGCTCCAGGGTTTCCAGCGGCCCTCGGCCAGCAGTGCTCGGCAATTCGCCTCTGGCTGCGCGGAACAACAGGAACGCCTGGAACTATTGGAACCTGTCATCATCATCATCATCATCATCATCATCATCATCATCATCATCATCATCAGCAGCAGCAGCAGCAGCAGCAGCATCATAATCATCAGCATCAGCATCAGCATCAGCATCAGCATCAGCATCATCATCAGCAGCAGCATCAGCAGCAGCAGCATCATAATCATCAGCATCAGCATCAGCATCAGCATCAGCAGCAGCATCATCATCATCATCATGGCTTCTTGGTCCTCTGATCTTCCTCTTCACAGAGGGCACGCTTAGTCAGACGAGGGCCATCAGCCTGCCGTAGCCCCCGCAGTCTCGGGTAAGAAAGGGGGAGGTGTGAAGGAGGTCGTCGGCATTTCTCGGGGCTCGAAGGAGAGTGTGTAGAATCCCGCCGCATTCGCCGACTTGACAAGCGCCGCTTTGTTGTCAAACCAGTGGGTCGGGGGTGGGCCCCAGGGCGTGTCGGGTATGGCTCGCGGAGCGGGGCCGGGTCGAGGAGGAGAAGGAGGTCGAGGAGCAGGAGGAGGATGAGCAGGAGGAGGTCAAGGAGGAGGAGAAGATCAAGGAGGTCGAGGAAGAGGAGAAGGAGGAGGAGGAACATGAGTCAGCACCGCGGAAACGCGCGTCAGCCACGCAGCCAGGGGCAGGGCAAGACCGTTCCCCCCCCACTACGACGTGCGCCCCAGCGCTGATAGCACGTGGGCATACAGGATCGTCCACGATCGAATTCTGAATGGGATATGAGCGCATGTAGAATTAACGGCCATAACAGGCGTTATGGGTGATGAGGGGGACGAAAGGGGGGGCGGGGAAAAGGGGGGCATAACGTAGCGCCCCGCCCCCCCCCCCCCAGACTATGGTGCCTGACGCACTGCGGCAGTGCCAAGCACTGAGGGAGGGAGCGTTACGTTATGGGGGGGAGGGGGGGAGGATAGAGGGGACATAACGCGCGTTATGGCCCAGAGGGTAAAGAAACATGATCTACTGCACAACGGGGAGAAGCTCTGTGCGACGCCTGTGGTACAACGAACCAGCAAGTAGCGCATGTTCACCAACTCACCGGTCGATTCATGCAGAATTGGGCTCTGTAGCCTTGTCTGGTGTATTGGTGCGGTCCTCCCTCCCCCTCTTCCTTTGATCCGCTGATGCTGAAACTCCTCCTCCTCATTCTTCAGGATGTTCGACAGCATCAGCCGAGGAAAAGAGCACCAATGAAATGGACACAACAAAAACACAGGTCGCTCCCGACTCGTCAGGAAGTGCCCCTTGGCAGCCGGCTGGATGCCGAGGCCTCAACCCACACACCATCATGTTGACGATATGGAAGCGCGAACAAGGGAACAACGTGGGGATGGACGAAGATCTAGGGGCAGGGGAGGGAGGGGACGACAAATGAGGGGGTACTATGGGGAACAACGTTTACCTGACTGTCGGGTCAACGACAGTCTGACATTTGTGGGATAACAACATGTTCTATCCACAACTGAACGTCTTGACCTACCGTCAGCTGAAACGGCCGACGACTGACTAGAAGGCGGTACACGCGAAGGATCAATGGCAAGCATAACAACCCAATGAAAAAGGATAATGCGAGAGAAGAGGAGCGGTGGGGCTTCAGCAGCAGAGGAGGACGAGGTCGTGGAGGTGGAGGATTGGGGAGGTGGAAGATACGAAGTGAGGGAGAGGATGTGGACGGAGCGCAGCACTGCGAGGAGAGGGGAGCCGAACGGAGAGAATGTGGAAGCAAGGGGAAGGGCAAAGCGGGCGGCAAAGGGAACCGGGGGGTGAGATTGAGGGAGCGGACAGATCATGAAGAGAAGAGCGGGGAGAGCGATTGGCAGTGAGCTAGACTCATAGCCGCGCACCCTGGCTGCACTGGAAGACTGACGTAAAATCCTGCCAGCCCTCTAGGCGTATGTACATGGTCTAACGATGTTCTTGCTTTTCTCTTCCAAAGCCCTCTTCCCTTCGGGCAGGGGTACACTCCTTCTCCCCCTCTCCCTCCCCGAGGTTTTTGTTTGGGGGGTCCGCGATGTGTCAGAGGGTCCTTTTTTGCCCACCATGGCTCCGGGAGAGCCTCGGATGCTCCAACATAGCATCCAAGATTGCTCACGATAGCCGGCGATGGCTTCCAACATGCTCCACGAGGCCCCAAAGACCGCTCCAATACGGCCCCAAAAGTGCTCTCGGAGTCCCCTCAGGACCTCCCCAAGAAGCCAATCTATCAAAAACCTCCTGGATTCAATGGTTTTTGCCGTCTCGCCTTTTCGCTTCCGATTTACGTGAGGCCTCAATACGGCCCCAAGATGGCTGGCCTCCACGATGGCCTTAAGAGGCCCTCCAGGGCTCCCAAGACGGCCCCGAGGGCCCTAAGACCCGCCAAAAAGCTCCAAGAGGGCCCCCAGACCCCGGGAAGAAGGCTCTTAAGAGGGTCCCGAGACAGCCCCAAGAGAACGCTAAAAAGACCTCAAGTCGACCCCAAGATGGCTGCCAGGGTCCTTGTCCTCGTCCTCATCGTCCTTCTCCCCCTCCTCCTCAACCTCATCCTCCTTGAAGAAGTTCCTCATTGTCCTCTTCCAGGTCCTCGTCGTCCTCTTACTCCTCCTCCTCCTCCTCGTTTCCGTCCCCGTCCTCCTGTTACTTTTCCTCCTCCTCCTCCTCCTCCTCCTCCTCCTCGTGATCCTCCTGGTTCCTCTCTGGGCAGATGTTCCACTGCACGCTGTCACACTTCCCTGAAGATGGCAACTCGCCCGGGCATCGCTGGAGAGTCTCTCCCGCCCGTTTCCCGTCAGCTCTCGTCGGCAGCGTTTCTGAATGGACTGGTGGGGGTACGCGAGGCGTGAAGAACTGTGAAATGCGGATGTGCGATATCGCCCCTCCCTCCCCCTCCTCCTCATCACCATCATCTTCCTGCCCACCTTCGCCTACGCTAGCTGCGTTCTTCCACCACTTCTCCCACCTTCCCCCTTCCTGCAGCACACACTTGCTGATGGCGGCTGTCTGGCAGAAGCATCCTTTTGGCGCACATGTTGGCAACAACCAAGGGCAACCTGCGCCCAGGCAGAGAAAAGTGGGCAGACCGTGCCAACACGAAATCGAACTGAATGTCACTACTGAAGTCTGCTTCACATGCTGGTTTTACTCCTTTGGTGACCATGCCTACTCCTTGTACGCACTGCCCGTCGCAAGGCCAAAGCCCTAGCTGAACCAGAGGGTAGTCTGTTCCCGCTGTCGTGACGCGTTCACGAAAAGAAATGGTGACACTATCACCTAGGTATTGCTTCACTTCATGTCCTCCGTCGTGAAGGACAGTCTGCTCGTCACTGTGATTGCCCGCGCCCTGGAACTTATTGATGGTCTTCGCGCTGAAAGCTTCCATTCTCAATGGTCTTCTCGAGCCCGGTTTCCTCGGACTCTCCCCGCATACTCTCCTAACTTCCGTTCCTCCCCCTTCTCTTTTCCCCGATCCGCCTCCCCATCCACTTCCCCCTCCCCCTTCCTCTCCTCTTCCACATCCGCCCTGCTTGGACGTTGTGAGGTTGCGGGCTGCGCACAGCCAGCCAGCCCCCCCCCCCCCTGGTAGTCCAGGCTGGCCTCAGCAGGCCCCCCGAAGAGCCCGGGGCGGTCTGAACACCCAGACCCTGGGGCGCCGGGGCGCCGCTGGGGCCAGCCGAGGCCACCTGGGGGCGCTGCCTGTGCAGCCCGAGGCCCTACCATTGGGACGCCCCCGATCCCCGCCCTGCCCTTGGCGGCGCGCACCAGGCAGCAGGGCGAGGAAGGACGGCGTCCAGAAGGCGCTGGCCCTGCATCTCTATAGGAGAGAAGGCCCCCTCCTCCCAAGACGCAGGTTTGCTTCGAAGAAGCCTTCCCCCCTCCCCCTACGGTAGGTTCGCGTCGTGCCGACCGGCGGCGGCCCCACCGCCAGCCAGCGTTCCCAGCTGAACGCCGCCAGCGACCCAGAATCGGTCGATGCTGAACGATCCGCCGTTTCGGGAACGGTCGATCATTCGAGGTTGAACGATTCCTGCGGTCTCAGACGCCCAAGTCGGCACGACACGAACCTGCGTTCGGTCAACCCGTGTCATAGTTGAAGGTGCGCGGGAAGGATGCAAGGGCCTTGGACGCCCATGCCGAAGGCCCTTCGGGCGGGGCTGGCCGTCGCAAGTGGTTGAGAGTGGACCGAAGACGACCGAAGACGAGGCAAGGACGCAGGGGCACCCCTGGGGAAGCCGATCGTCCTTACTCTGCGGGCCGACTGCACCCCCCCCCCCTGCGCGTGGCCCTTCCCCCCTCCACGGGCCCTGCCCCCTCGGGCTGGGCCACCGGGGCCCCCCATGGATCCCGGGCAGGCCGGGCCGAGCCGGGGCGAGAGGCCCCATGGGAGCCGCGGTCCGCTCGGGGCGCGCGCCGCGGCGGGGCGTCCTCGGAGAGCTCCGGGCTCGGGCGGCTCGCCCTGCTGCTCCGGGCGCCGCGGCGGGCCGGCCGCGCGTCCTGGCCGGGCGCGGCCGGGCCCGGAGGTCTCTGCCGTTGCCTTCCGCTCCTGGCGGCCCTTGCAGCCTCCGCGCACTTCCCGGCAGCTGCGCTGGAGGTGGAGGAGGAGGAGGAGGAGGAGGAGGAGGAGGAGGAGGAGGAGGAGAGGAGGAGGAGGAGGAGGAGGAGGAGGAGGAGGGAGGAGGAGGAGGAGGGAGGAGGAGGAGGAGGAGGAGAGGAGGAGGAGGAGAGGAGGAGGAGGGGAGGAGGGGGGAGGGGGAGGAGGAGGAGGAGGAGCCTCCGCTCGGGGGGGGGGGGGGGCCCAGATCGTTCCGACGGGCCGCTGGGGAGCGGAGCCGTGGCGGGGAAGCCGAGGAGCCCTGGCGTCGCCACGCTCTCGCCCCGGGCGACGTCGCGCGGCGTCGCGGGCCCGGGGGCCCTGGCGGCTCGATCGATCCAGCTCGGGAGAGGCCACCGACCGGCGGGGGTCGGGGGCTCTGGTCGTGATCTTTGCTGCGGCGTAGGATCTCTGCGGGAGAAAGCCTCCCCCTATAGACAAAAATCGACAACAATCTACAAAAATCTACAAAATCGACAAAAATCGACAAAAAATCTCTGCGGGAGACACCTGGCGCATCCGACAAAAGTCGATGTCCGGCTGGCTGCTCTGTCTCCCTTTGGGCCAGCACGGCGCCCGCTTCGGGGCCCGGGGCCCTCAACAAGAACAGACCTGGGCGAACAAAACAGTTCTATATGGAGGGGTTCCAGACTTCCAGGGGCCCATGAATATGAATCGAAGCCCAGATGTCGAGGGACGAGAGGACAGAGCAAGGAGGAGAGGCTCGGAGGAGGGGGAGGAGGAGGAGGAGGAGGAGGAGGAGGAGGAGGAGGAAGAGGAGGAGGAGGAGGAGGAGGAGGCTGGGCTGGATGTCTGGGCCTGGCCAAAGAGTACCTTTCCAGGGACGCCGGCAGGGTACCCACACGGAGGCCCACTGACGGCTCCACGAATGGGCGGAGAGCTTGAGACACCTCGGGCCCGGATTGCCTTTGGCACCCCCCGACCTCGGGCGGCGCGTGCACCCGCGTGACGTCCTCGCAGAGCACGAAGTAGAGCTTGCCGAGGCCGTCGCACTTCGAGGGGGGCGGCGCGGCGCAGAACTCCCAGTGGTCGTGGCCGGCGTCGTCGCTGCGGCAGATGCCGATGGACAGGTCGTCGCTATTCACGGAGGCGCACACGGCGCGATGCAGCACGTTCCTGTTCGAGCCCCACAGTACCTGGGCAACGAGCAGAGTACGCAGAAGGCACCTGCGGCAGGCTCGTGTCGTGCCGACTGCGGCGTTGGTTTCTGACACCGCAGGGATCGTTCAACCTTGAACGATCGGCCGATTCTGAAACGTCAGGTCGTTCAACATCGACCGATTCTAGGTCTCCAGCGGCGTTCAACGTTGCACGCCGGCGGCGGGGTTGCATCTGGTCGACACGACGCGAACCTACCGTACAAACTGCCACCTCGCCTGGCCAGGGCAGTCTGGGGTGACGCTGGGTGTACACGGCCCTCCTGGCCGAAGCCAGGAGGGTCCATTCACCATCCTGTGGCCCAGGATGGCCTTGGCCAGGCGAAGTGCTGGTGTGCAGGTTGCCTCGTGCGCGATTGCCGCCAGGAGCTGCTGCTCTGCGTGTCGCGGCGGCGGTCCCAGCGACATGCTCTGCCCTGCGAGAACGACAACGTGTCACTCTGCCCCGCGGGGCGGACGACGGGGAACAGCTCGAGACGTTGACGCTTGGGAATGGGAAGTGTGATCCGCCACCGTGCCGCTGGGCACGCTGTGGGCGTGTCCGCGGGTCCGTTGCCCAGTCCTCTATACCCTCAATCCTCACTCCGGAGGAGTCCTGAAGGGGCCCGGAAACCAAATTGCCAAATCCCCTGGGGCTTGGCGCATCGTGTCGCGGCTTCTCGCGTGACTTTTTCGGAGCCAAGAGGGCCCCAAGACGGGCGAAGAGGGCCCCAAGAGACCCCCAAAACGGTCCAAGAGGGCCCCGCGTCGCCGAACGATCGCTCCAAGACGCTCAAGATGGCCTCCAGACGGCCCAAGAGGCCTCGAAGACGCCCCAAGAAGCCTCCAAGAGGCCTCGCAAGAGGATCCCAAGAGGCCCAAATCATTGTTTGTCCTAATAAGGTTGTTGAAGGTTTTTGGCGTTCTCGCCGTTTCGGCCTTCCGACACTCCCAGACGGCCCTAGAGGCCCCCAATATCGCCCAAAGCGGTGCCCCCAAGAGGCCCCCAAGAGGCTCCCAAGAGGTCCCAATACATTGCCCCCAAGAGACCCCCGAGAGCGCTCCGAAGAGACCCCCAAAGGCATCCCTGAGAACTCTGACCCACAACCACCACGCACGGTGGCGGGATGGACCGAAGGCCAGTAGCTAGCATATCGCGCCGACGCGTGGTGGGCCAAAACCCGCAAAGCGACACGCCAAGCCCAAAGTTGCAGACCGCACTTTCGCGCAATCGGCAGATGCTCTCCCGTCGCTCACCTGCTCGTACCGCTCCCAGACCTCGCCGCAGCGCCTGAACTCAGACCCTGGGGGGTCGAGCCTCCCTGCCTGCGCGGTCGACGGGAACCTCAAGCTCTGCTCGTGGGACCGCCCACCGTTGAGGGCCTCTAGTATTGGCTGTCTGGCGAATGTATCCTGACCGTCCTCGAGTCTGATCTGCATGAGGCGCAAGTCTATCATACCAGCGTGGCCTGATTGGTCTTCCTTGGCTGGCAACTGCGCGAGGGCTGGGCTCAAGAAGCACGCAAGTACGGAGGATACGCTTCGCATGCCAATCACGGGATAAATGACTAACTAAATGACTATATGAACGAGTAGTGGTAGGGTATTTGTAGGTGGTCGAAGTAAAAGTAAGTGTGACGGGCTAGAAGCCATCAGCCTGGCATCCAACCACAACGAAATTAAGCCAAAACAGGTGCAGGAGGCGGAAACGATGAGAAAGAACGATGGGGACAAGGATAGCGACTAAACCGGCCATGATGATGATGATGATGATGACGATGATGATGACAACGACGACGACGATGATGACGATGATGATGATGCTGCTGATGATGATGATGCTGATGCTGATGCTGATGCTGATGATGATGATGATGATGATGATGATGATGATGATGATGATGATGATGATGATGATAATGAGGAGGAGGAGGAGGAGGACAACGACGACGACGAGAACGAATGGTGGTGGAGCAAGAGTTACACGATCGCCTACCCAAAGGAGGAGGGGCAAAGGATGGGGATGGGCAAGGGCGACGAGAAAGGGGAAGGAGGAGGCTACGGAGGACGGCGAGATGGATCATGAAGAGGGACACATGTGGAAGAGGAGGTGTCGGAGGAAGAATAGGGGCGAGGGGGGGGGAAGAGGAGAAGAATAATCAGGATAAACGTTTCGGAATATCCAAGGCATCAGGCGTTGTGATTTTTAAAGTGGTTGATCATTTTCGCCTCAAGCCGTTGTGTTGACGATAGCGGGGCCCTGTAAGCGCCCCCCGACGACAATGATGCATCGGCGACGTCAACGTCAAGAAGATCGGGCTCCATATCGAGCCGCAACGCCGACGCATCGGCGATGCGGCGCCACTTTCCGACTCCATCTACCCAAACATCCGCTGATATGTTGTTGTTCAATCCGCGGCCTCCAGGGTCCCGACACCTTGCATGGGGCGATTCTTTGGGGGCACAGATCCGTTTGTGATGGTCCGGGTGCCCGATAACGGGCCACAGTGGCCGACATCGAGTTGAAACGCTGGGACCGAAACAAAAGCCTTATCGTCGGCGATCCGACTACACAAACCCTACATTCAAAATTGACAGCAAGGATGCGCGATGAAGGATGCGAGTGCGCGATGAAGGATGCGAGGGCCTTGGAAGGCCATGCCGACACCTTTCGAGCGGGGCGCGGCCAGCGAAAGTGGCCGAGGATGGGCTGAAGGGAACGGATGCAAAGGCAACCTTGGGAAATCGCTCATCCTTACTGCCAATGCCACCTGTACTTGTGAAGGGGCCCTGGGACACACAAATAAATACACACAAATAACAGATTCCCCCATATTTTCAAATATTTTCTGGGTTTCTGTCTCCCCCCCACTTCCCATATTTTCCCATATTTTCTGGGGAATCGACGATTCATTGTGTCTGTGTGTGTTTTTCCCTTCCTGAACGTGGGAGAACGGGAGAACCCACTACCCACGCCTCGGACCGCAGGAGCCCACCGCGGGCCCAGAGCTCGGCGAGACGCGACCCCCCCCCCCGCCCCCACAGGGCCGACAACCCGCTCGGGAGTGCCCGGGCCCCGGGCCCTCGGGCCCCGGGGCGGAGTTCAGCGGTGGATCGGGTCGGATAGCAAAGGGGGGGTTTTGAGAATCAGCTCACGCAGCTGATTTTCCCGGCGCCTCCCGGCGCCGGGAGGCGCCGATGTATCGAGGGATGGGCCCGGCGGCGGGGCCGAAACCAGCTGCATGCAGCAGATTTCGTACCCCCCCCTTTCCCAATCCCCCCCTTTCGTCCGGCCCGAGTGGAGGACGCGTCCTGCATCCTCTGGCGTCTTCGCACCGTGAACCAAAAACAGCTCGCCGGGAGGTGTTTGGAGGGTTTCGTCCTTGAGGAGGCTCCCTTCCATGTTTCCAGCCGACGGGGGGAGGCGGAGGGGAAGGAGGAAGAGGGGGTGAGAGGAGGAGAGGAAGAGGGGAAGGAGGAGTCCCCTCCTCGACTCCCTTTGCTAACACTCCGCAGGGGTGAGACTTTTTCGAGTTCTGGGTCGGCTGTGGGATCGATCGCCGCGGTCCTGGCAGTTCCCCCGTTCCCCCCTTGACCGTCCTGGCACGCTGCTGGATACCGTTTGCTCCAGCTCGGTCCTCCATCCCCAACCCTAGATCCTCCAGCCTTCTCCTCTTGCTCCTCCTCCTCTTGCTCCTCCTCCTCCTCTTGCTCCTCCTCCTCCTCCTCCTCCTCCTCGTCGTCGTCCTCCTCGTCCTACTCCTTTCTCCTCCATCATCTCCCCTCCCCATCCTCCAGCTCCACCTCTTCTTCCCTCCCTCGCCCTCCTCACTCATCCGTTCTGGCTCTTCCTCCACTTCGCCACCTACACAACATCCTCCATTATTTCATCCCTCCTCCTCATAACTCCTCGTGTTCATCAGCCTTCACATGTTCCCTCCTGACCCTCCTCATCCTACTTCCTCCTCCTCCTCCTCCTCCTCCTCCTCATCATCATCATCAGCATCATCATCATCAGCATCATCATCAGCATCATCATGCCTCCTTATCATGGCTTCTTTCCCTACTCATCTCGCTTCCTCTCCATCTCCTCCCTACCTTTCCCTCCTCCTCCTCATCCTCATCCTCCTCCTCCTCCTCCTTCTCCTTCTCCTCCCTCCATCCCGCTCCCTCCCTCCCTCCCTCCTCTATTGTCCTCCCCCTCTGCGTCTTCCTCCTGCTTTTTGGTCCTCTGCGTCCCCCCTTCCGCCTCCTCCTTCCTCCAGCGACGCCAGCGCCGATGACAACGACGCCGACGCCGACGACGCCGACGCCGTTGCCGACGGTGTAACGACGCCGACGCCGACGCCGACGACGCCGACGCCGCGGCCGACAACGACGCCGCAGCCGACGACGACTCGGCCGACTCCACCACCGACGCCGACGATGTGACGACGCAGCCGTGACCGACGCCGACTCCGCCGACGACGGTGCAACGCCAGCGATGACGGCGGCGAAGACGACGGCGAAGAGCGGCGGCGGCGGCAACGCCCCCCGCCCCTCGCGGCCCGTTCTGGGCGCGAACGCCGCGGCGATCAGCGCGAGGGCGGTGCCGGCAGACCGCCCGGCCTGGGATGGCGAGGGCGAGGCGGGGCGTCGCCGTCTTCGTCGCCAGCCTCGCCGTTGTCGTCGTCGGCGTCGCACCGTCGTCTCCGTCGTCGTCGGTGGCGGCCGGGTCGGCGTCGGCCGCGTCACACCGTCGTCGTCGTCGTCGGCGGCGGCGGCGGCGGCGGCGGCGGCGCCAGCTGAGTCGGCGTCGGCCGCGTCACACCGTCGGCTTCGGCGGTGGCGTCGGCGGGGTCACACGCGAGCTCTGGCAGGCCGGCGAGCCAAGAGATGCAGCAGGCACGCCAAACAAGAGACCAGCCTGCCAGCAAGTGCCCATCGGAGATTTCTCGTTCCCTGGCGACCTCGGGCACCCAGTGGAGCTTCCGGGCTTCCCGCGAGGTCCGACATCCCGACATCGAGCGAATGATGTGCCCTGAAATTTCTTCATAAAGACAAGATGTCGTGTCAGGAATCACCACGCGCGGCCGCACAGTGGGGTGCATTCAGCCAGCGCAGATCGTTCGACGTCGGCCGATTCTGGGGCACTGGCGGTGTTGAACCTTGCACGCCCGTGCTGGGGTCGCCGCCGCGTGATTGCGGCGCCGACCTACTATACCAGCATTGGGAAACGGAGCAAAAACGAGAGCTGTCAGAGGCCCGCGCGGAATCGACCTTCAGAGGTCGCCCCTGGCGCGCTTCTCGCGCCTGGGGACGGTGGTCCAACTCCAGACCAGCGAATCCGCGCGAGCCTCCGGAGTCCGCCGAGTGCCGCGAGGCACTGAATGAAGTGTCCTCAAGTCCTCTCGAGCTCTCAATTCCCGGAAGTATCGGCCGCTCTTGGGCGCTCTTGGGGCTTCTCGCCTGAGTGCTGCAGAGGCATCGGCAGCGTGGTTACGACTCCAGCTTGCCAACGTGCTCTAAGATGGTCCCGCAGGGCTATCCTGAAGTTGTCTTGGGGGCCTATTCGTCTGTCTTAGAGGCCCCAGGGCCCGCCACAAGAGACCGAAACCACTGAGTATAATTATGTTGCTGGTTCCCGAGAAGGGCCTCATCGAGGCCCCGAAGAGGAGCCCAAGAGGTGGAACTCGAAGTGACACTCGGAGCCCTCCGCCCCAAGATGGCCCCCTAGACCGCCAGCAGGCTCCGAGGCCCCCAAGAGGCCCCCGATGCAGGAGGCCCCGAGGAGGCATCCAAGAGGCCGCCGAGCATCCCAGCAGAACCCGACAGGCATCCAAGAGGCCTCCTGTCCACAACCCGGGCACGGTGGCGGGATTGGCCGAAGGCCACTCGATCCGCCGCCCCCTCCTCCTCCTCCTCCTCCTCCTCCTCCTCCTCCTCCTCCTCCTCCTTCTCCTCCTCCTCCTCCTCCTCCTCCTCCTCCTCCTCTCCTCCTCCTCCTCCTCCTCCCCCTCCTCTTCCTCCTCCTCCTCCTCCTCCTCCTCCTCCTCCTCCTCCTGCTCCTCCTCCTTCTCCTCCTCCTTCCCCTCCTCCTCCTGCTCCTCCTCCTCCTCCTCCTCCTCCTCCTCCTCCTCCTCCTCCTCCTCCTCCTCCTCCTCCTCCTCCCCCTGCTCCCCCTGCTCCTGTCCTACTCCTCAGCGTGGCTTGCCGCGGTCGCGGACGGCGTGCCAAACTTCAGGCAGCTGTTGGTCCCTTTCAGCGGTTCCCAGCGGGGCCTCGGCCGATTGGCGACGGCCCCCGGGAGAGCCGCGCCAAGCTGCGCCCTCCGTGGGCCTCCCCCCCGAGGATGGCCCCAAGGTGGCCTCCAAGGCGGCCGAGATGGCTTCCAAGGCGCTTCCAAGACGGCCAAGATGGCCTCCAAGACGGCCTCAGGACGCCTCCGTCTCGAGAAGGTAGTCCCAAGACGGCCCAAGATGTCCTTCAGAGGGCCCAAGAGGCCCCCAAGACGTCCCAAGAGGGCTCCGAGAGGGCGTCTAAGAGACCATACTCATCGAGTGTTCTTTGGTTTTGCAGTGACGCTATTTCGGGCTTCCGGCGCTCCGGGACGGCAGCATAGGCGCCAAATGTTGGCCCAAGACGGCCCCAAAGGCCCCCAGCCCGCAAGACGGCCCAAGATGGCCGCATGAAGACGGCACAAGACGGCCTCAGAGGCCCACAAGACGGCCCCTAACACGGCCCCGCGGACCTCCAAGACAGCCCTAAAGCGCCCAAAGATGGACCCACGACTGCCCAGAGAGGGTCCCACGACGGCCTCAGCAGGCAAAGAGGTCCTGTAGAGGCTCCCAGAAGCCCCCAATAGGCCCCTCAGAAGCCCCTAAGAAGCCCCCAGTAAGCCCCCAGGAGGTCTCAAGAGGGCCTCAAGAGTCAACATATTCTTCTGCTGGCTAATATGATTATTCGTCGTATCATCCTTCTTCTTCTTCTTTTATCATCATTATTGTTATTATTAATAATATTATTATAGTATTATTACGATTAGTAGTATTATCGATACGATTAGTAGTATTATTAGTAGTAGTATTATCACCCTTACGGTTATTAATATGAATATGATTATTCGTATTAGTTGTTGTTCTCTTAGTATTCTTGGTCTTCTTCTTCTTCTTCTTCTTCTTCGTCGTCGTCCTCCTCATCCCCCTCATCCTCCTCCTCTTCCTTCTTCTCCTCATCCTCCTACTTGTTCTTGCTCTCTCGAAAGTGTCCCGATTGGGTTCCACAACAGCAGGGGGAAATATGTAGTCAAATGGCTTGGCCAGACTATGGCCCAGCGTTTGACCGCATGGGCGTTTCCAAAAGGCAGGGGGCGTCGGTGATTCGCCGTATGCGTCTCCGATCCGTTGCCCACTTCTGCTTACAAACGGGTGCGTGGAGTGCTTGACTTCCTTGGCCGGGCGATGCGGTGAGTCGACTTGGCCGACGGACCAAGAACTACTGGCAACTGGCCAGAAGGCAGGCTCCAAACTTTGAACAGTGCCTCCAGCTAAGTCTTTTGCAGACGGGCGCAGGAGAAGCTACTCTAAGTTGACACTGACAAGCTGCTGGGATAAGGGCAAAATCATGACCCCTCCTCCTGGTGTCCTCCTCCACTTCCACCTTCTTCTCCCCCTCCAGCTCCTTCTGCTCGTCCTGTTCCTCCTTCTCTTATCCTCCTCTGCATCCTCCCTCCTTCCTCCGCCTCGTCGCTGTTACCTGCTCCCCCCCCTCTCATCCCCATTCACCCTCCCTCCTCCCTCTTCCTGCTTCCCAATCACCCTCTTACCTTCCCCATGCTCTCCCCTGTGCCATCGCCGTCTCCTCACGTCCTCCCTCTTCCATACACCGTCATCGTCCTCCATCGTTCTCGCTCCTCAACGCTCCTCGCTTGTCGATCGATTGTCCCTCCTCGCTCCGTCTTCTTTCCTCATTCCTCCTTCAGCCTCCTTCACCCTCCCTCACTCCTCCATCCCTCTCCCCGTCCTCCTCCCACTCCTCTTCATGATCATCCCACTCCTCTTCCTCCCCCTCCCCCTCCTCCCCTCCTCCTCCTCCTCCTCCTCCTCCTCCTCCTCCTCCTCCTCCTCCTCCTCCTCCTCCTCCTCCTCCTCCTCCTCCCCCTGCTCCTCCTCCTCCTCCTGGCTCAAGCCACTCTGGCCCACGAGGGAGGGACGTGGTGCGCCCGGTCACGTCACCCGTCCCTCAGGGCCGCACAGCCTCTCGCGCTCGCCTGCCCTGCGGAGCAACCTCTCTCGGGCAGCAGGTGCATCCAGTCGGGACGAAGCTGGTCTGACTACCTACCAGACCACCCCAACCCAACCCGAAGATCCGTATTTTGGGTTTGGGGGGTGGGGGTACGGGTTTAATGTGTGTTTCTTCAAATTTCCCCGACCCCCCCCACACTGGAAGTGGAGGGCAAATTGAGGCCTTCGGCTTGGGTTGCCCTAGTCTTGACAGAGCGATGGGGGATTGCAGCAGGCGTGGGCGTCAAGGGCGATTCCGGATTGGCTGCCAGAAGGACAGATGCATGGGAATGGGCATGGGCTGCCAGACCGTAGCTAGTCTGGGCACTCTTAGTCTTGACGGCGCGATGGGGGATTGCAGCAGGCGTGGGCGTCAAGGGCGATTATGTACTGGCTGCCAGAAAGATAGATGCATGGGGATCGGCGTGGGCTGACAAACCGCCCAAGTACTGCAACTCGTTCGGAACGGCCTTCCTGGGCCGAGCGAGCTCCCCTAGGCTGCCCTCAGCCCGCAGCACGTCGGCCCGTGGCAGTTCAATCCCGAACAGATGGCACCGTCGCTCGTCCCGCGACGGCAGCGAAGCCCCATCATGGAGCTGGAGGTCGGGGGGCAGATGGATGAAGGAGGACCCCATCGCCATCAGTGCAGCGGCGGTCCAATTTTGGAAGAAGATGGAGGGCACCACTGGCCAGCACTACGTTCAGGCCGTCGAGGAGCAAAAGTCGCTCAAAGCGAAGCACCTGGCGTCAAAGCCATGGGATCAGCAAAAGAATTCGCTTCAGGACCAGCTCGAGGTTGCAAAGGAGAAGCTCTCGAAGCGAAGGGCGACCTCGACAAGACCCTCGAGACCTAAAGCTCGCCGAGAACTACGAAAGAACCAAGAGACCGTGGACGACTTTCAGTTCGAGGTCACGAACTTGGAGGTCCAGCACAAGGCGGCAGCGGAGGCGGCCCTCAAGGAGTGCAGCCAGCAGCAGCCACTGGCGACCTTCACGGCGAGCCAGTTCCCGCCTGGGCTGGCCCAATCGCAGGAAGTTCAGGGTGCAATCGAGATACTCGCTGGTCAACTACACAAGGAGTGGGAATCAGCACAGGCGAGGGCAACACAATCAGCATTTGTAGATTCGCAGCAGACGCAGCCCACGGTGGTAGAGCAGCACCACCAGTAGCTGGTCCAGACGGTGGTGGAGCAGCACCATCAGTACCACTACCAAAGTGCCCTGTGGAGTGGTCGCCTTTCCCACCGGTGGGAGAAGCCGAGGAGGAGCCCATCCAGCTGGAGGAGGACGAAGGTGACTGGCCAAATCCTCAATCTCCCGGGAATCAAACTCACGGGTGACCAGCAG